AAAGGGGGGGGGGGGCAGTGCCAGCAGTTCCAGTTGATTTATTGTTGGACATATTTTTGCTCGGGGGGGGGGGCACTTGGCTTTCCTTCGGGGCAGTGCCCCCCGGAGATATAGCTGAAAGAAACCACCCTGGGCCAGAAGCGTAACTTAGGGGGGGGGGCAGAAAGGACATCTGTCCACAGGCCCAAGACTAGTGGGGTCGCAAAAAAAAAAAGGGCTTTAGTGCGGTATTCATGGATAAAAATAAAGGACTTCAAAGGTGAGGAAGCGTAAAAATGATTATTGTCCCCTTGCGCCAAATGCTCTAGCCACACCTCAGCCAGAGGCACCGAAAGGCTCATGAATGGGGTGGCCCGCCCAGGTGTCCATTTTTAATAATATGGAAAGAGGGGGGGGGGCATTTTCGGATAACTGCAAAGTTTGTAACCTGAATGGGAGTGCAAAAGTATGGTCTGTGGAGTCAAAACAGAATTTTTTTTGATTATTTCAAAATCAAGAGGTGCATTTTCGAGAATATCTTAATTCAGTGTTTCTATTGATCGTGGAAAGGAGTTTTTCAAACGTCCAGGGGAGGCATTAAGGCGTCCAGCACCACAAATAAACTGAATTTACTCCAGTTGTGGCACACACAAGAGTAATCATTTGGACAACCCTTAGATTCAACCATGTACGGTCATACTGTATCAACTGCATTCACTCCAAAATGAGATAATTCCCTATGACTTTATTCAATTCATGTTTCCTGCTTCCCTTACTTGCAAATGCCTGGGACATAGTTACCATTTCCACTACGTGGATCTGCAATGGGGAACAGCTCAAACCGCTTCCAGTATGGGGAACCCAACCTCTTTCACTATGGTGCAGAGGCGTAGCGTGGTCGGGGCAGGGGGGACAGATGTCCCTGGGCACCAGCTAGTTAGGGGCGCCAAAATGTGCTTTGATATTATTTTATTGATGAAAATAATGGGTTTGAGAGTTGAAAAAAAGAAAAAGGGGCGATAAAAATGGATCTTGTCCCCGGGCGGTACCCTGCTGTAAGATCTGACGCACCCGGCCCTTTGATCAGTTGGTCGTGATCCCTGGTCAGATGGCCGGTAACCCTGCTGCGAGATCTGACGCGCCAGGCGCCGTCGTGGTCCGAACTCTCCACAATATATAGATATATAGTGTACTCGTTTTATAGCCATTTTAATTGTTTCTATAGTATAGTAGTTACTTTCCTAGTGTCTCTGGTTTTTCATTTTTATTTTACTTAGTTTACATGTTTTTAATACTTGTAAAGCGCTTAGAGCTTTAAGGTAAGCGCTATATAAAAATGTCTAAATAAATAAATAAATAAATAAATAAATGAATAAACAAAATAGGAGCCAAAATGATCAATAAATTGATCGTGGGCCCTTAAGATATAGAAGAAGAAGAACAAATAAACGAATAAACGAATGAACGAATGAACGAATGAACGAATGAACGATTGAACGAATGAACGAATGAACGAATAGATAG